TTTTCTATTTTTCGTGATGTTTCTTTTTTACTTACTATATGAATTATTTTTGTTTTTTATTTTAAAGTTTTCATTTCATATGTTACATAAGATACATATACCATATAATTTTTAAATTTTTCTTTTTTTCCTTTCTTATTTAAGTTATTCATTGATTTTTTTTCTATATATTTTTTATTTGTTATTATGTTTCTATGTGATTTTTACTTAGTTATTTACTCTAATTAATTACTTTAATATTTATTTTTTATTTTCTATATTATATGAGATAAGTGTGATGTTCACGTAGTATATATGTGATGTTCGATGATATATTTTACGATGTTCAGGTAGTATACATATGAAGTTTTATCATATTTTTTGTGATATTCATGTAGTATATATGTGATGTTCTGTAATGTATCTTGCGATGTTCAAGTATTATACATGTGATGTTCTATGATATATTTTTGTGATATTCATGTTGTGTACATGTGATGTTCTGTGATGTTCGCGTAATATAAATATGATGTCCATGTGTTATACATGCGATATTCTATGATGTAATATTTTGTGATGTTTACGTAGCATACATGTGATGTTCTATAATGTATTTTTATATGTTTATGTAGTATACATACGATGTTTTATGATGTTTTTTGTGATGTTCATGTATTATATATGTGATGTTTTGTTGTGTATTTTGTGATATTTATGTAATATACATGTGATGTTCATGTAGTATATATACAATGTTCAATGATATATTCAGTGATGTTCACGCAGTATAAATATGATGTTCTATGATATATTTTTGTGATGTTCATGTAATATACATTTGATGTTCTATTATGTATTTTATGATATTCATATAGCATGCATGTGATATTTTATGATGTGTTTTGTGATTTTCACGTATACATGTGATGTTTTGTGATGTTCATGTAATAAATATGTGATGTTCATGTAGTATACATGTGATATTCTACGATGTATTTTGATGATGTTCATGTGTTGTACATGTGATGTTCTATGATATTTTTTTATGTTCACATGGTATACATGTCATGTTCTGTGATGTTTTAGAATGCCCACATTATATAAATAAGATGTTTCACGATTATCTTTGTGTATTCACATAGTATCCGTGAAATGTTCTATGGTATATTGAGGTTGTTTAAGTAGTTTATATTTCTATATGATGTTATTTGGTGTTTTAGTTTTTTTTCTTTTCTTATATTTTATCTATTACTTTTGATTAGTATCTTTTTTATTTGTTTTATCTCTTACATATATTTTTCTGTATTTCATGAGATGCCACATGATATATTTTTTAATAAAATAATATTCTTGTTTGATGAGATTTTGTACAAAATATTTAAAATAAATGTGACTATATGTAACGTGTTTATATGTGCATGAGCTCGTATTATATATGTACTACTAAAGAAGAATGCATGCATCTTCACGCGTGCTAATTAATAAATATATAAGACAACGAAGGAAGCTAATGGGTAGCTTGGTTCATCATGCCGGACAGCTTGGCTCCGTTTGGCTTGCTGAATCTTGGCTGAAACTGATTGAAAAACACTGTTCCGGCTGAATTGTTGTGAGAGAAAGATAATGTTCCGGCTGAAAAAACAAGCCGAATAAGCCGAATATGGGTAAACCGAATATATATGACGTCCATGTATTTTTCCCTAAAATTACATACTCCGTATCCGTGAGTCGAGTATACGGTTCAAAGTCTTCACTCAATGATACAGCTTGCTTATATATATACAAAGATCATAAGCTAGTTGGTTTATTAGCCGTCAATATCATTTGTGCTAGCAAAGAAAAGAAAACAGAAACTAAGTACGTGCGTACACGTACTTGTGAAAATGAAGAAAAGACGCAAGCTAGCATGTGCATGGGGCCGGAGTTCACGTACAGAGCCCATGTATCTTGTGACCCAGCCTCGCCATGTATTGCTCGGGAATGTTCAGAAGCTATCCATCGAGCACGTACGCGATACGCGCGGATCGTTGGCAGCTCAATACATATATGATAAAGAAACGGTGCACTAAACAAACGGCCCGCGCGCTAGCTATCGAAACAGTCTGCCCACGCGCGCGTCGCGAGTGGCGCGAAAGATAATTTCCCGGCCGGCGCGAGCTTAGGGTCCAAACAGCCGGACTCTAGCAGCCCCCCGTCAGCTCTCCCCCATCTCTACTGGTGGTCACTGCTAGTGGCGCCCACGTGTCAGCCCTGTCCTGTGCACTGTTCATCTTCTTCGTTGGGCATGGCCATGCCCGGTTCCTGCAGGGGCCTACGGCCGGCCAGTGGAGAGAGAAAGGGCGGCCTAGGCGGGCACGCCGGGTCCGAGCGCGTCGGCAAGGGCGAGCTCGTGGCTGCCGAGTGCCTCGAGCGCGCGGGCTCGGCGGAGGAGAGCGCGAGGGAAGCGCGGCCGTCTCCAAGGATGCGACCATGGATGATGCGTCGGGGCCACGCGCTCGAGCTCCGCAGGAACACGAGCTGCCTCGCCGTGGCCGCAGAGAGGCATTGGACGAAGTCGTCCGCCGAGGAAGTTGACGACGACGCTCGCGCAGGGGTGGGGGCGCGAGCTTCGGCCGCGTGCACAGCCGTCGCGTCTACATCGTGCGCCTCCAAGCAGTGATGCAGTCGACTATTGACGTCGCGGCGAGCTCCGCCATGCGGACAGCGGCGTGGGCGCGAGCAACTCCCGACGGCGTGGCTGCAGCGGAGTCGGCGGCGTGGCCGGGTCCGGGGCGGACGAAGACCTGCAGGGGCTGGTGCGCGCGCGGGTCGGAAGTCCGCCTCTCCGTGCACTCTTCGTCCGCGGCTGCGCTCGTGGCTGTCCGCGACCGCCGTCCCGTGCGTCCGGTGGAGCTCGTCGCGGCTGCCGCCTCGCGTGCCCCGGTCGAGCTCGCCGCGGCCGCGCGTGCCCCGGTCGAGCTCGCCGTCGCCGCCATCGCGCGCGCCCGGCGGAGCTCGCCGCGGCCGCTGTCCCGCGTGCCCGGCGGAGCTCGCCGTGGCCGCCGTCTCGCACACCCTGGAGAGCTCGCCACGGCCGCGCCGCGCCGACACCGCTGGTCGACGCCGCGTCCAAGCCGCATCCCTGCCACCCTCGGCCGCGTCGCGTCGAGCCAGTCCGAGCCGCCATAAAGCCTGGACCGCACATGAGCCTTGTGCCCTTGTCCATCCCCACGGCAGGACGGGAGCAGGAGCAAGGGAGCACGCCGGCCCGAGCTAGCCGCGCCGCGGCCGTTCGGCGACGGGGAGGCCTCCCCGCGGCCGGCCTTTGTCCGCCGATGCCCTTGCTCTGCTCTCGTTGGGAAGTGAGGAAGAAGGAGCTGACAGCCAGGTCCCACAAGCAGTGACCAGCAGAGAGGCGAGGTGACGGGCAGCAGCTAGCGCCGTTGGGTCTGGAAAGACGGAGACGTCAAGGCGTGCTGAAGTGGCGTGCCATGTTTTCAAAAATGATAAATTTGTAGGTAGGTTATTGTTTTCTGGGACATTTTTTAGTTGACACCATAAAGCTGACAATCGGAGAGACGATCACCGTAAAAGTGGCAAATAATTGGAGGCAAAAAAAAAAAAAAAAAAAAAAAGAGGGCGGGGGAGGGGTTGTTGCGGGTTTTCCTTCTTTCCTAACTAGAAACGTGCTAGCCCAGCCCAAACTACACTTGAGGTGAGGTGTAGGCTTCCTTGCAGGCACAGCGTCGACAACATGGAACTCTGCTTCGAAAAACGTTTGATCAGTCATAGCAAGCATTCAGGCTCTAAGGTGTGATTGGTTGAGTTGTGACTGTGGAAAAAAGCTATCGTGGACTGTGAGCTATAGGAAAGCTGCTGTGGGTTATGAGCTGTAGAAAAGCTGAAAGCTGTTTAGTTAAACAAGTATAAAATATACCTTTCTATCTTTATCTCTCTTGAAACAACTATGGAAGAGCTTTTTATTCCACCAATTTCGAAAAGCAGAAAGCCAAAAACTAAAAGTAGGGTCAAACCAGCTTTTAAAAATATACTACGAAAAAGTAGCTGCTTCTTAAAAAACAAACTCCAAAAGCAGCCCCATTAGTTTGCCATGTATGGTTCACACAAGGTATATTTGACACTTAATTTTCCATTTGGAACTCAGAAATGGCCATTTCGACTATAAGAAAATGACTGATTTTACCCTTTGGCCGTGCTCTTCATTTCTGCCAGGCGAAGGAGAGGAGGCAGACACGCACTTGAGAGTTGACATGTTCAGTACACCGGCAGGGCCGGGTCGTTCAACCAGCCTCTCCAGCGTTTGATCCAATCCAATCAGATTTCTCACACTGCATGTTAGCATTGGGCACAAGAATGCCCATTTAATTACGGGTCGTCTCCTTCGCACGTCACTGGTAATTAGCTTATCCATCAATCTCTTCCATTCCTTAGAACATTGTTTTTTTAGTGGAGCATTTTCTTTTATCTCTATACTGCAATCTCCTCAAATCCGATTGACTGATATGCAGAGAATACAAAAACAGTGTATTTTTCGGATGTCTTCGGGATGCAAAGTTCTCGTGAAAACGAGAGCTGGCATCGACGCAGGCATTGCTTCCTGTACAATGACAGCCGCAGCCGCTTGTTCAGATTTGTACAGTGATGAAATGACGATCGATCAACTCCTCGTCCCCATCGAAGGTTTCCAGAAACTCCAGCTCGCTGAAGCTGCCGCGCGTTTCCGTCTCCCTGCTGGCCACACCATTGACCTGTGACGGCGGCGTTCCAGTTGCCGCCGCCACTGGCGGAGCTATATGTAGCGGTGGCAACCGCATGCATGGGGCATGCCGTGCAAGCGCAGTCGGAAAGACACCCGCGGGCGGCGGGCGCCGCGCGTCGCTGCACTCGGTGGCGCTAGCTATGATCTCGTCCTGCCTGTCGCGGAGCCACAAGTCAAGGCTAAGCGAGGACAGCGTCGGGGGTAGCCGACGCCGCCGCGGCGTGCCGCGGCAGAGTGTCTCCTTGCAGAGTTGCAGTGGGCGATGGCGCTCGCCACGGCCACCGCGCGCTCGCAGGCCGTGTCGTCGACGGCGCCCCTTCGTGGCGCTGCCGGCGCTTCCTTGTTAGCGGCCCTGGCCTTACTCAGCCGCCGGGAGATCCTCCGCAGGTGCGTCCCCACCGCGTGCCCCCTCGGCGCCACGCTCGCCGCAACCGAAACATTTCCCACGCTCGCCGCCGCCTGCTGCGCATCCTCCTCCTCCGCATGGACTTTGTTGGACGCGCGCGCGAGGACTTTGTTGGAGGTCCACATCCGCATCCCGGCGCCGCCCGCGCCGAAGCGCAGTGCGGAGCTGGACGGGCTCTGCTGCCCGGATGTGCTGAAGCTGAAGTCGTCGGCGCTCGACGACGAGGAGGAGGACGCCGATGGCGAGGAGCACGAATCGGTTTCCTTATTAGCACCGGCGCCGCCCGCGCGGAACGCCGGGGACGACGGGCAGTCAGACTCGGAGGGTGCAGGCGTCGCGGCCGTGGCCACCGTCGTCGTGCCCACGGCGTACGGGAACAGCCAATTCATCGCAGCGACAGTGACTGCACTGCGTGCTGGTGGCTCTCGTTCTCGTAGGAATGGGAGTTGGAGGTGTGCGTGTGCATCGGTGCATGCATGCCATGCCATTGTTCATGGCATGGTGGCGTGTCTTTACATTCACGTCGTGATCATTTTCTACAGCGCGTCCTCCTGGAGATTGGCAGATGACAAACATTCTTGCTGAATATGGAAGTAAACCTTTCCCAATTCCATGGCAGTACGTACTGTCATTCCATAATCAAGAACAACACGCGTCAAGGTTGGAATTTGTGGGCGAGCATGATTTGCAATCTTGCATTGATACGTCATTCTTCATGGCCATGTATTTTTGAGTGGGGAATTATATTTTCAGCTGAGGTTTATCTCCTTTTGTTGCTCAAAGTATTGGGGAAATTAAATTATAATGGTAGCAAAGGGATTGGATTTTTTTCTCCGCTTCAAGAGTTCAAGGTGAATGGGTTTCCACCTTGGATATTATGAGACGGAGCTTTTCAATGAGACTCAGATACGGTTCCACCAGAGCACGTGTAACCTATGGGTCTGTTTGGGACTACGAATCTTGCGGTGGCGGTCGAGGGAAGCAGAGAATCTCACCGAACAAAACCGCGTGGCAGGTCTGCTCGATTCTTGTCATCACGGCTCAGCCACCACAAAAAAAAAACTACAAACATAATTTTACGTATCAGAGCTCCGTCTACCGCACCCCGCGTGAGAGATCACGGTTTCAAATAGGACCTATGTATGTCTTAAAGAGGAAACTTTTTTTTTCTCGTAGGCTCGGGTCTAACCGTTGCACCACAAAGAAGATAAGGGGTGTTTTGGTTCCACCTCCTAAACTTTAGTCGCTGTCTCGTCATAAGGGGATATTTGATTCCACCTCCTAAACTTTAGTCGCTATCCAATCGGATGTTTACACATGCATGGAGTATTAAATATAGACTAATTATGAAACTAAATACATAGATTGATATTAATTTGCGAGATGAATTTTTAAGCCTAATTAGTCCATGATTTGACAATGTGGTGCTACAGTAAAATATGCTAATAATGGATTAATTAGGCTTAATAAATTCGTCTCACGGATTACTGACGGATTCTGTAATTTGTTTTTTATTAGCATCCGAATACTCCATATAAGACCCCATATAACATACGATGAGACACCTTTTAAATTTGAGTCTCTGCATCAAACACGCTCTAAGAAAAGTTTCCTAGCATCGAATCAAGTTGAGATACCAGGTCTAACTGAATGAGACACTAAACAGGCCACTCGTCATCTAGTACGTTGTCACCATCAGCACATAGGAAATGTTGTGTTGTAGCACCCACTTAGGTGAAGACATATAGCTCTGTGGATGATATGTCATTTCATAAAAAGGCTAGCTCCATGCCCTTAGGATACGAGGTTGGGTGGGGCAAGAGCATCCCCAAGAGTATCATATAATTCTTCATAATCTACGATTTTTTTAGAAAAATAGAAAAAAAATCATCTCCAACAACTCCCTAACTCCTCAGCTAATCTTTTAGCACTTTGGAAAACCTCCCCCTCAGCGCGTAAAGTTACGCACACGCCGATGCCCGCGCGTTTCGGTGTTTGCCCGCTTGATCTCATCCTTCCCCCGCTTTCTCTCTAGGCGAGAGGAACTTTGCCGCCACCGGTATTGTTCTGGCTAGGCGTCGTCCACCCCCACCGCCACACACAGCAGCACATCATCTCCATCGCGGCTCTCTCTAAGCAGTAGCACCACACGCTAGCTATAGCTCCTGTCTCCGGCGCGATGAGTTCGAAGAACGAAGACGGCCTCGGCGGAGCTGCTGCCATTGCGGCGCTCCTCGTTGGCGCCGTCATCTCGGGTGGGCTGTGGCCCGTGGTAGCCCCGGCTGCTGCCGTCGTGATGATGAAGGCGCCCTCCACACGGCCGGCGCTACCGCCCACTATGCCAAAACAGCACAAAGGAGACACCTTAATTAGTGACTCGAAATTGAAACGCGTCACTAATAATACATTAGTGACGCGGGTAAACGACACGCGTCGCTGGTAAGTTGTTGCCAATGCCCAAGAAACAAGATGCGTCACTAATGACAAGATATCGGTGACTCGTCCCAAGAAAACGCGTCACTGATAATAGAAGTGACGCGTTTTAACTAGGCGCGTCACTGTTATAGATAAATATTAGTGACTCTTCCCAACAAAACGCGTCACTATTAACAACAGTGACGCGTTTTACGTAGACGCGTCCCTGATATGGAGAGATATTGGCGACTCTTCCCAACAAAACGCGTCACTAGTAATAAAAGTGACGCGTACTGTCCAGGACGCGTCACTCATATTTATACATATCAGTGACTCTTCCTGTTAAGCCGCGTCACTGACGACCTGGCCGAGGTTGTTTAAGAGATGAATCGGTGTTTGGCTGGCCGCGAGGCAACGACGAGCCGCCACCGAGGCTAGGGCCAAGGCCCGCCGCACTAGAGGCGGCACCAGGCCTAGAGGCCGTCCTCCAAGCCTGCCGCAACAGCCTACCACCCCCGCCGCTGTCGCTCACTGCTAGGAACGTCGGCTATGTAAACAAGCACCACCTCTCGATCCGCTTCCGCGCCATCGCCCGCCTCGACCAGGAGCCACGGACGAGGAGGGACGCCACCAGGGCTAGGGGCCAGACCCCGCCGCACGAGAGGTGACACCAGGCCTAGAGGTCGTGTCCTCCGGCCCACAACAGCACCAGCCACCGCCGCTCACCGGCACGCACCGCCTCTTCGTTGCCATCGCCCGCCTCGAGCACAGGTTACAGCACAGCTTGATCCCATCCCTATGCTCCTCTCTCTCCTTGATGACTCCTAGCTCATCTAATCTGTCGCCCTCCTCTCTCCCAAAATTGGCCTGTCCATTTCTAAAGAGTCAACCCTAATCTGCTGCCATGGTGTCGTGCGGGATGCTCCAATTAGTGTCTAAAATTTAGTCTTTTTGGACTATTTTTGTTGGGATGGATTGGACATGGTGTCGTGAGCACTGGTTAAATTTCAACAGTTTTGGTTTTCAAAATTTTCTTGCAAAATAGACAGTAGTTGTGCTCTCTGTTCATGAAAATTTCCTTTTACTGAATTTTCTGGGTTTGTCATTTTAAAACAGAGTGTTTAGTTTAAGTTACAGAGGCAGAAGGCGATCAGCTCGAATCTCGAGGACGAGATTCTTGTTAAGGGGTAGGTTTGTAACACCCTAAAAAAATGACCTGGTTTAAAAATCACTAAAAATTTAAACTTTTTAAATATTGCAAAAGATGTAGAATATATAACCAACCTAAATAATTTTTACAAATAAATTAACATAGGAACATAAGAATTCATGTGTGAAACTTTGTGTGTGAATGATTGCTTAACTTGTTGAACTAATGGTGGTACATTTTTAAACACTCATGCATTCAAATTTGAATCTAAAATCATTTAAACATATACATATTTGAGCTGATAAAAAGAAAAAGGAAATGGAAATGGATAAAGCCACTTGGGCTCAATCTCTCCCCTCTCTCCCTCTTAGCCCACCGTAGCAGCCCAACCCCTTCCCCTCTTCCTTTCCTTCTCCCGCGCGAGCCGGCCCAGCAACGCCGTAGCGGCCGTGGTCCAGCTCCCCGTCCAGCTCGCCCACGCCCTTCCCTTCTCCCCTCTTCCTCCCGCTGATGCCTGGGCCCTGCCCGTTAGCTCCGTCATCAACCTCGCTGCCGACAGTCGTACGCAGCGCAGCCCGCGCGTCAACGCCCGCCAACGCCACCCCGGTGCCAGCGAACGTCAACGGCGACACGACAGGACCCATGGTGCCCCTCCTTTCTCCTCCTCTCCTCTCTTTCCCCTCATTGTGAGCTCATCAATGCCAGCTCCATGGTCGCCTCCGCACCGAGCGACCGGAGTAGCCGCCAAGGCACCTCACCGTGCGCATGGGCAAGCTCCAGCCATGGCGATGTGACCTGACAAGGTCAACAGCGCGTCCGCGTGGTGGATAAGCATGGCCACGAGAAATATCTCGCCGCTAGGACACCTGCCTAGTCGACCTATAAATAGGCCCGGCCGACGATGCTCTCGCCTCGCCCTCTCCACCATCCGCTCTGCCGAGGGCGGGAACACCTTATCTCCCCTGCCTCTTCCCCTTTCTCATCCTCCTTTCCACTTTCTTCCATTTTCCCTAATTTGTGAGTTCACCAGCGCCATCAGCGCTGCCCTCTCTCTTCTCCTTCTCCGCTGCATCCTTGGTCGATTGGAGTGACCGGTGAGTCCCCAAGCTTCTCCTTTTCCATTTTCCGTAGCTAGTTGATGATCTAGGTCTCTAGGTTGCACTGCCCGCGTGCGCCCCGCTCCGCTGAGCCGCCCTGGCCGCCGACCATCATCGGCAAGGCCACCCTAGGGCACACCACTACACTCCTCACCCACCTGCACGCATGTACACATAGTTAGTTGGTTAGAATAGGGCCTCTAAGGCCGAGTCCATCACACAACGCCACCGCGACCCCTTCGGCGAGCCGCCACCACCATCATGGGCACCTGCTGCCGTTAGAGACCCCGGCACCGGCTGCGGCGTTGAAAGGTCCTTATTTGGTTTTGGTAATTGAGTGACAACCTAGGTGGACTAATTGTGTTTATGTGAGATACACAGGTAATTAGTCCACAGGTACATGTGTGTGAGCAACATATGCCATGAAGGTGAAAATGGCTTCGAGATGTTGCAAAGCTCACACATGTGATGATGAAGGAGCTTATTGCACATGAGACGTGACATTGAGTCATGTGATCAAGGTGGAGAAGATCAAGACAAGACTTAGCTTGATGGACCTGTTGCAAGCGTGAAGGGCAAGTCGGAGGCTTTGGAGTGATGGACCGCATGGCGGTGAAGCTTGAGCAAAACTTGGCACCGATGGACGATAGCAACGGTGAAGAGCAAGTGAAGTCAAGATCGATGAACCAATATGATCACGTGATGATATAAAGTGGATCATATCATTGTTGATCGTGTTGGTGCATGTGTTGCATCGACGTTGGAGAAGATGGAATGGAATACGCAAGGCAAAGGTATAACCTAGGGCATTTCATTTCACCGGTCATAGGTGTGTAGAGAAGTTTATGACCGGGTTTAGGATAGATGGCCGTACTATCAAGAGGGGCAAACTTGTTTGCATATCGATCATCTAGTGTCACTCG